AGGTAAACTTCGTAAATTGCAGTTTTATTCTGCTGACTCTTTAGAATTTGTACAGGTCATGCACTGTGGTGTATTGAAATGCATGTAATGCTTATGGAACTGTGATGTACAGAATGAGAACATCTATGTGAAACGGCTCATTGGAATTGTATATTGAGCTTCGTCCTGGACTAGGATCCAAAGATATCCAATCATATCCCTATTCCAGGAAGTAACAGCCAATCACTAAGAGGCAAGCTCCCTGAGCGGGAACGACTGTGATTGGTCCTTATCTGTTCAACCTGATTGGTTGGTACTTGTACAGTAGGCGTGGCTATATTAGCCGGGAATGTTTAAAAGCAGGACAGCTGCAATGTTAAAGCTGTTCTGGCTATCAGATGTTGATCCGTGTTGGAGAAGTGTTCGAGTTGAAGAATAAAGTTGTGTAGTGGGATGCGTACAAAGCAGTGATGAGAGGGATTCTCATCTCCCAAAATGTGAAGCAAAAAAAAGAAAAATTTCAAAAACAAGCAGAGGTGTTGGAAAAAATATCCCAAAAAGAAAAAGAATTAAAGAAGAAACCGGGGAAAAAGAAGATTATTCGAGAATTACAGTTGTTGAGAGAACAACTGAATGAAACTCTGAACCAGGAGCTCTATTGGAATTTAAAGAAGTTACAACAAAAATCTTTTGAAGGGGCTAATAAACCGGGAAAATTTTTAGCTTGGCAACTTAAGGCTAGGAAAGAAAGAAGAATGATAACCAAAATAATAGAAGAAGGAAAAGAGTTCGTTGACCCTATTGGTATAAAGAGGAGTTTCTTCAAGTACTATGCTAAATTATTCCAAGCAAATAGAACAGATCTTGAGAAGATTAAAAAATATTTGGATGAGGTTCCACTATTTAAAATAAGCAACGAATTCAAGGAATTACTGAATGGCCAAATTCAAAAAGAAGAAGTGAGGAAGGCAATTGAAGAGGCGAAGTTGGGGAAGGCGCCTGGGCCGGACGGATTTACTGCAAAGTTTTATAAAAAAATGAAAGAAGAAATTGTTCCGGCCATGGAAGCTTTATCCAACGACATACGTGAGAGCAAGAAGGTGCCGGACTCTTGGAAGGAGGCAATTATCTCATTAATACCAAAGGAAGGACAAGAACCAACGAATGTGAAGAATTACAGGCC